AATGTGTTTGATTACAGGATGCTGCCCCCAGTTCACTGGAATGTATTTATGAAAAAAATTTAAAAATCTAACTTCTGAAACACATCCAACCCACAGGTACTGGATAAAAGACTGTGGATCTATATTAACTTTGAAGCCTGTACAGTTTGTATTTCCTTAAAATAAATGTCATCTTCTTAAAGAAACACAAGTAGGATCCCGAATCTAGTATTAGAGAATGTTAGGGTGAGGAAAACATTTCCTTGGCCAGGCACGGTGGCTCACACCTGTAATTCCAGCACTTCGGGAGGCCAAGGCAGACAGATCGTTTGAGGTCAGGAGTTCAAAACCAGCCTGACCAACATGGTAAAACCCCATGTCTACTAAAAATATAAGAAAATTAGCCAGGTGTGGTGGCACATGCCTGTAGTCCCAGCTGCTCGGGAGACTCAGACAGGAGAATTGCTTGAACCTGGGAGGCAGAAGTTGCAGTGAGCCAAGAAAATACCACTGCACTCCAACCTGGGCAAATGAGCAAAACTTTGTCTCAAACAAACAACAACAACAACAAAAAAAAAAACCCACAAAAAAAACAAATATAATACATCTGTAATATTTTATTTACATATCACGGTAGTCAGAGTTTCCAAATTCAAAATTCTACGGCTTGCTTAAACAAATTCTATTCTCATCACTTAGGTAACAAATAAATAAATAAGGTTCTTTGGGGGGCATACATACGCCTTGAATCACGCAGACCAAATCATCACAGAACTTTAGAGCTGAAAGAGACCCTTCAAAGCTAATCTAAATTATTATCCCTTGCCTTCCAAATTGTTTTATCATCTGTAAATTTACTCTCCCCTATGAGGTAAGAATAATCTGCCCTAACTTGTCTTTAGACTCTGTCTATAGGAACACCCTGTAGGTAAATGCAAATAACTGGGTGGAGTAGACTGACAAACTTGGGATCTAAAAGGATAATTGAATTTAACACAATCAATCTTATAAATGTAGTAAATGTCTCAGATTATACTTCAGAAAATTACAAGAATTTCCAAGTCCAAAATGAACAGAGGACTCACCCAGCACATACTTAAAAATAAATAAATGTTAACAGAATTTAGCAATCTTAATGGACTCAATGAGTCAACAACATAATGTGGCTGCCAAAAAGCTACTGTGATTAGGAACTAACCACATCAACATCAGTATCCCATCCAGAAGGAATGAGGCAACTCCCCTTTCTGCTACAAGCTGGTAGAGTACATCTGGAGTATTACATTCAGCTCTGTTCCACATTTTGGGAGAGATACAAAAAGATTGAAAAAGACTAGAAGAGGGCCAGGCACAGTGGCTCAAACCTGTAATCCCAGCACTTTCGGAGACTGAGGCAGGTGGGTCTGTTGAGGTCAGGAGTTTGAGACCAGCCTGGCTAACATGGTGAAACCCTGTCTCTACTAAAAATACAAAAAGTAGCCAGGCTTGGTGGCATGCACCGTAATCCCAGCTACTCAGGAGGCTGAGGCAAGAGAATGGCTTGAAACCCAGCAGGCAGAGGATGTAGTGAGCCGAGATTGTGCCAATGCATACCAGCCAGGGCAACGAGAGTGAAACTCCATTTCAAAAAAAAAACCTTTGTCATTACCTCAGTGTGTTACTGCTGATTTTTACTACTTCTGGTATCACAGCATCTCTCTTTACCCTGCTTAAAATGTCCTACCCAGCTAACCAAGCAGCTGAATGCTTCGCTGGGTTTGTGGGAGAAAAAGTGCCTGCTTGCTGGGCAATTAGTTTCAGTTTGCAGATCAGTGTACCTGTAAACAAAAGAGGGCCCTAACTGAGGAGCAGGCAAGAGCTCTCAGCTCAATCTCCATGAAAGAAACTATTAATTCAAAAAGAATCTATAAGACCTATCCAATCAAATAATATATTATCAATGGCACTTAGTTCTTACAGGAATGTTGAAATTAAAAAATACTGTACAACCATCTTGTCAAATGCCAGGGAATCCAACTTTGCAAGCCAAACCAGTTCTCTCAAATTCAATTATAAGTTTTCCTTCTGCCAAAGAGATGTTTACTGTTCAAAGTAGACTGGAGCCCATGTTCCATACTTGATCAAATCACTGGAAAGTCAGTTCAGCTGCTGAGACACTGGCAATCCAGAGTGAATTCACAGAAAAATACAAACTACCTAATATTTAAAACACAGGAAAGTTACTGAAATTGGACATCCTTCTATAATTTCTTCAACCAAAGACCACCACAGACATAATATGTTAGTTCATGAAAATTACTAAAAACCCTGAACAACAGTTCAGATGGCAAATAGTAATCAAATGAGCTTTACTTCAGTTTAAACTGAATTGGATTCTAAGCAACTCCAGTGAAAGTATTAGAGAATACAGTAAATGTATGACAGACTTAACAAAAATACTCTGTGCTGCTTCCTCTCTGGGCTTTTTTAAGTGAAGCCTAGAAGCTTCTAAGTGTCCATAAATAAGGCCTTGGTTAAATAAATTATGATACATTCTTATTCTGGAAAATGCAACTATTGAAAAGAATAAAGTAGACTCTAGATACTGACACTTTTTTTTAAAGTCCATGATACACAGTTAAGTGAATACCACAAGTTGCGAAACGTGTAGAATTATTCAATTTTGATTTTTTAAAATCTATTTTTAAATACCCTGTGTGTATGTTCACACATGCCCAGCAAAAACAGCTGAAAAAAAATCTGAAAAATTGGTAGCAGTAGTAACTACTGCTAAGGACTGACTGAAACTAGAAGGCAGTGAAAGAGTGACTTTCCCTTTTTCCTTTGTAGACTTCTGGTTGTTTATATTTTTTTGCCTGTAGGGGTTACCTTTGCGGTTTAAAAATAACAATACAAATATAGTAAAAGTAAAATAACATGAATTACACACATTTATTTATCGGATACTAACCAAAGTAAGTGATCTTGCTACTTAAATGTTTCTGTATGCTTAAAACTCCAGAGAATCAAATTCATTCTTTTTCTATTATATTTTACTAAAACAAATAAAAATCACCACAAGTCCCTATTAGTTTTCATGAATACTTTACACACACACACACACACACACACACACACATATACACACACACACACACACACACACACACACACACACGGGCCTGGTCATAAGCATAGCTAACACATACGGTGATTATTCTGCACTAGGAACTGTTGTAAGCACAGTTAAGTGTATTAACTTATTCAGTCTTCCCAGCAGGCCTGGTGCAGTGAATCATGCCTGTAATCCTAGCACTTTGGGAGGCTGAGGCAGGAGGATTGCTCCAGTTGAGGAATTCAAGACTAGCCTGGGCAATATGATGAGATCTCATCTCTACAAAAAATTAGCTGGGTGTGGTGACTCACACCTGTAGTCTCAGCTATTCAGGAGGCTGAGATGGAAGGATCGCTTGAGCCCAGGAGGCCGAGGTTGCAGTGAGCCAAGATTGCGCCACTGCACTTCAATCTGGGCAACAGAGCCAGACCCTGTCTCAAAAAACAGAAACAAAAAGTCTTCATAGCAACCTATGAGATAAGTACTACTATAATATTATCTTTGTTTCACAATCAAAGAAACTGAGTCCAGAGAGCTTCAGTGACCCGCCTAAGCTTACACAGCTAACAAGGGGAAGAGCTATGATTCAAACCTAGGAATAAACCCCAGAGTCCATATTCTCAACCACTATGCTTCCTGTTTCTCAGTAATATGTCAATCTCTCTGTATGAAAGCCAAAAGGGGTTACAGGTAAAACCCAGCTAGTTAATACTATCCTTGAAGCTGGAAGAGATGCACCTTTGGCTTTTTTGGGGGGAATAATCCTACTTATGTCATTGCGAAGCTTTAACCCAAGACTCAAGACTGTATTAAGGCTCATAACGATGTGGGAAAATTCTCTACACACTCAATTATAGTCCAAAGTCCATACCTGCCTCCACCACTAAGCCTAAGATTTAGGTCACAGACCCAGCTAGACAACGATTTGGACAAATCTCCACCCAAACTCAAAACAAGAGAACTGAGAAACTTTTGCCTAACGTCTTGACAAGGTAGGTTTTGTTTTGTTTTGTTTTACTTCTAGGTCCACTCTAGATTTAAACGAGGAAAGAACAGGAGTTGTCTCCAACTTCGCTTCAGGACTTCAGCAAGAAAAGCCTTGCTTTTCTTGGGCTCAAACAGAAAGTGGCATTTATCAACATCAGCAAAGTTGAATATCTTGGCTTAAGGAGACAAAAATAGGCATCCTTGTTTAAATTGTGTATTTGTCCAAACATGTTGACCTTACACTTGTGAGGGGAAAAAAAAAAAAAAAAACGGTGCAAGAAAGAGATTTAACCTAATTTATAAATGTGCTCAACCTAGATACACACCTGTCCCAAATGACCTACAGAATCCACTTATTTGCAGGGACAACATGGCTTACAATGCCTTTTTTTGTTTTTCTTTTTTGCCCTCAAGTGGTCCCTATATTGTTTGTAAACAAAATCCTCTCACTACCTCTCTTTCACCTGTCACATCCACACGTCTGATATTTACATAAACAAGAAGAAATGGCCAGGGAAACTGGAGCTTTGAAAGGAATCCCTTATCCTCGGTTTTTGACCCAGTGGTTGAAGGAGGTACTATTCCGGCTTTCAAACTTCCCCCAAATAACACAGGCAGAGAGACCGGGTGCAGGAACCCAACCCAAAAGTTTGCGCCCATTCTGGGTCTCTGAAAAAGGCCCGAAGCCCTGTTGGGAAGATGAGATGCCTTCCACCCAGCAGCCACCCCCTCCCGAGGGAGCACGGCCCACGGGGGACAAAAGACTTTCCAGATTGATTGGGGGCGGGAGGGGGGCTAGCTGGAGCTGGGATCTCCCCTCGGGAGCCGGAACGTGGGAGCCTTTGGGACAAGAAAAGATAAATTATAGGCAAGAGCCCAACCCTAGATGCCGGGGCTGGGGTGAGGACGGGTCCTGCCCAAGAGGGAGCGCCGGACTCACCTGGAGGAGGCGAAGAGGGGGCCTCGGTGGCAGGTGGGGTGGGGATGCTGCTGCTGCTGCTGCTGCTGCTGCTGCCGGGGAGAACGGGGGTCGGGGTCCGGGGAGTGCTGGGCGCCGGGACGGTGATCGCTACCGGGGAGGTCGGCGCCAGGCCAGTGGTCGACGAAAGGGTGGTTGGCGCGGATCTGGTCCGCACCTGAGAGGTGGTCGAAGTGCGTTCCGCCGCCAGAGGGGTGGTCGGCGAGGGGCCGAGCGGCGTCTGAAAGGTGGTGGGAGCGGGTCCGGCCGTCGCCCGAGGAGGGGTGGTCTCCGGAGGCCGGGCTGGAGAAGTCGCAGCCAGGGGTCGGTGGACAGTGGCGCGCGGGGGCCCGGTCCTCGGGGCCTGGGTCGTGGGAGCCGTCGCCCTAGGGAAAGGGTGGCTGGGCTCTCCCCGCAGCCCGCGGCCCGGCGACGCGTCCACCTGCCCCGCGGCCCCGCCGCCACCGGTGACATTCCCCGCCGAGGCGGCTGAGGCGGCGGCAGCCGCGGCGGCGGCGCAGCACAACAGGGCGAGGCCGCCCAGGCTCGGCAGGCTCCTCATGGCGCGCTCGGCTCCGCCATTCATTCATTCAGCCAGTCGGTTGGTCCGTCATCTTCTCCTCGCTGCAATCCGACCAAGGAAGCCTCCGCAACCGCCGCCGCCACCGGGCGCACCATCGCCACCTCCCTCTGACAGGCGGCCGGCCCCGCGGGCGGGCCCCAGAGCGGAGGGAGCGACCGGACCGAGCGCGGACCGCCCGCCCTCCCTGATTGGCAGCCGCGCCTAACCAATGGGAAGCCAGACTAGCCCACGTGATCCGTCCGCTTCCCGGCCTCTTTGTAGCCCTGTGGGCCAATCATAGGACGTCCAGGAGAGGGGGCGGTCCGTGAGGCGGGAGAAGGGTGGCGCGAGCCCAGCTCCAGCCCGCCGGGCTCGCGGCGGCCCCGGCTTTGTCTGCCCAAGGAGTGGGGCGCGGGCCTCGGGCACCGGGCGCCGCGGAGCAGACAAAGGATGCGCCCCGCGCGGCAGACGCCGGGCCTAGTCATCTGCTCTACCGGGCTGCGAGCTCTACCGGGGGATGGAATCGGCACTTGGGAGCATCCCGGCCCTCGTGAACAATGGGGCGCCGGCGCCGCACCGGGTCTCGGGCAGGGACCGCGCTGGAACCCCGCGATGGGAGAGGGCGGCGGCAGCGAGGACGTAGAGTTTAGCATGCCCTCTGCTGCTCCAGAGAGCCCAGCCTCAGCCTTGCGAGGTCTCTGCCGCCATTCCCATTTCAGAGATGGGGAAACTGAGGCCCTTGCGAGAGCCTCCCTGATGCTAGACCCACGCCGTCACCAGACACCTGCTGTGGGCCAGATGTTGTGTCAGGCTGGACGAGGGGGCGGGACCGGGCGATGGAGACCCTTCAGGGCAGAAGATGCAGGCTTCCTGCGAGGAGGAGACAGGCTCGCAAGCACACTTACCTAAACCCCGGGAAGAATAGGATCAGACGGGGTTAACCTCAACTTGATGTCTCTTGCTGAATGGTTTTGTGGCCTGAGCGCAGTGTTTTCACCAGTAAAATGAAGATGATAGGACACTCCTCACCCCCCTCCCAGAGCTGTTGAGAGAATTAAGTCATGGACATAAAGGGCTTAGCCCAGCGCCTGGCCCACTGTTGTAAACCCTCATTAATGCTAACGACTCTCAGCGTTCTGTGCCAGGGCAAGCCTAGGATTAGAAAGCAGCCCCAGGCCCCAGCCCTGCAGTGTCCCCAGAGCCTCCTGCTGGTTGCAGGGATCAGGGTGGGGCTGATAGCCGAGCTTGACCCTGGATGACACTAAACCCTGGATCAAGCTGGAATTCGGGCACGCAGCCTCACATCATCCGTCCAGGATCCAGAGCTAGGTCAGGCGCTGCTGCCTCCGCTCAGCAGCTTCCAGGGGGAGCCAGGCAGGGCGGGTTTGTCATCTGATGGGGCTTAATCCAAGCCTCACTGCTAACCCAACCCCGGCCTCCCCTACGTGATGTTTGCCTTTGTGCATGGTTTCCCATTAGTCATTGGCCTTCAACCAGACCGGCAGGATGAGATTTCTATGTGAACCTGTGTATGTTAATGAAAGCGTGCATTTATTTTCCTGCATGAGTAATGCATGGGGGAGGCTGTGTATGAATGCATAAACATGTTTGTGAGTCTGTGTTTATGAGTATCGTATGTGTCTGTGTGAGTTTATGAGTATGGGAGCTAGCATCTGTTTTCATATATTGTGTCTTAATAATCTGTGCATGTGTACTGTGTATGTTTATGTATATTTTCTGTGTTTTTACATTTGTGGTTATCTTTGGATGTGTCTTGATAGGTCTATGTATATTAAACAGTGGGAATGAGGGAGAATGTGTTCTGGCTTCAGGACCGATATTTAGCAAGCACTAACCAAAGTTCTATTTTTACTTTGCTTTGGGAGGGTGGACAGGTCATGCCAGTCCCCCATATTCCCTTGCCCATTGTCCCTGGCTCTTCAAACCCCAACCAAAATGCCACATTCTCTAAAAGACATTCCTGGATTTGAGTGGGAATTAATCTCTCCCTCTTCATTTCCCCACCACCCTTTGTTTATGCTTTGATTACAGCCCTGATCTACCAATCTACCTCTCCCTTGCCTTTTCCTAAAAGAATTAAGGATGGCTTTCAGAAATATATACAACGGGATAAATTGAATTGCCCACATGGCTTTATTACTTCTCCTGGGCATGCATCTGCCTTAATGCTAAAACTTGTTATTTATGTGTCTGTCTCTTCCATCAGATGTTCTCCCTGTTCTCAGTACCTAGCAGGGGCAACGCTTGTAAGTGCTAATCCATGCTGGTTAAATTGAATTAAATTGAAGCCTTGTAGTGTTCATGGGAAGAGTTTGCGTCTTTAGAGTCAGACAGACTTGGGTCATGACTGCCAGGTGTATGACCTTGGAGGAAACCTTTGACCTCTCTGAGCCTGTTTTCTTATCCTTTTTTTTGAATCTGCATTTTGCCCTTGTTGCCGGAGCTGGAGTGCAATGGCGCCCTCTCGGCTCACTGCAACCTCTGCTTCCCAGGTTCAATCGAGTCTCCTGCCTCAGCTTCCTGAGTAGCAGGGATTACAGGCACCTGCCACCATGCCCAGCTAATTCTTATATTTTTAGTAGAGATGGGATTTCACCACGTTGGCCAGGCTGGTCTCAAACTCCTGAGCTCAGGTGATCCTCCCTCCTCAATCTCCCAACGTGCTGGGATTACAGACGTGAGCCACTGGGTCAGGCCAGTTTTCTCATCTATTAAATGGGGACAGTAAATCGTCTCTCATTTGTCGAGCTGAGGATTGAGGAGAATGTTTTCACAGAGCCTGGCATACAGACGGTACTCAATATATGTAGGTTCATATTTTAGTTATACCATTGCTAACTTTGAGCTTTGTTGGCTGAAGGACCAGAGCAGAAACCCCTGCCCCGTAAGTTCCCCATCAGGTGACATGGCCTGACAGTTGCCCTACCTGATATTTCCAAATGATATCTGGAAAATGCTGGGTTGGCCCTGAGCTTTGTTGTATCAGAGGTTCTCTGGCAAGGGGGAAAAAGCTGATGCAGCTTCTTGGCTAGGAGAACCATAGAGCAAGTGACTAGAAGACCTTGTCGAGTGATCCAGGTCAGCTCTCTGCCTTAGGCAAGGATCATCCATACGGCGGCTTTTAAGATGGGATAATTAGCCGGTAGTATGTATAGAAAATATTAAATTTTTTGACAGATGTTAGTAATTTAAATGTATTAATGTTAATTCATTCAACATTTAATTCTTAAATTTCTTTAATCTTAAATCTTCCTTAATCTCTAAACTACAAGATGATTTTCTTAGGAATTACATTTTACTTTGTGTTTAAAAATTGGAAACACCTTACATATCTGACACCAGAGGAAGGTATTATTATATCCATTAAATTTAATCGTATAAAGTCATTGTAAGTGTAGCTATGAAAACAGTATAGGAAATATTAATAGTAAACAATTGAGCTCATGGTCTATGCTAGACATTATACTAAGAGCTACATATGAATGATTTTGTTTAATTCTAAGAACCCCAGGAAGTAGGTACTATTGTGTCTTAGTCCCTTTGGGCTGCTGCAACAAAGCCCTGTAGATTGTGGCTTGTAGACAACAAAAAATGTCTCTCTCCCAGTTCTGGTGCCTGGGATGTCCAAGATCAAGGCACCACCAGATTCAGTGAGCTCCCTGGGTGTTCTTTAAAAGGACACTAATTCTATTCATGATGGTTCAGCCTTCATGACCTAATCACCTCCCAAAGGTTTCCAAATACTTTCACATGGAGAGTTTGGATTTCAACATATGAATTTTAGAGGGACACAAACATTCAGTCTATACTCTATTATTATCTGCATTTTACAGATAAGGAAACTAGGACACAGGTTATGCAACTTGCCCATGGTCACTTAGTAAATAATAGAGCCAGAAATCAAACTGAGGCTGGCTGGCTCCCACTGGCACCCTTAACTATAAAGGGAAAATACTTATAATGGAAAGAAGAAAAGAAAAATTATAGCTGTCACACTCTGTGTAACAGAACATTGACGGGCACTTTTCCTATTGTCCCAGAACTGTAGCTAAGGCCTAGGGCTCTAAAAAGCTGTCAACCCACCCATGAGACCTGGAGCCAAAGGCTTAAGAACCACGGAACAGCAGGGGTCAGAGAGGGCCTTTTTAGAGCCAATGTGTAGCCTGACTTTTCTCCTCTCTTCTCATGGGAAGAGCTTGTGTCTTTAGAGTCAGACAGACTTGGGTCATGACTGCCAAATGTATGACCTTGGAGGAAACCTTTCACCTCTCTGAGCCTCAGTTTTCTTATCTTTCTTATCTTTTCTCCTCGGTAAAGGAGATGCTGTAAAGGGCCCCATCTGATTTCTCATTTTATAGTCAGTACCTAGCACAGTGTCAAATACACAGAAATGGCTCAAGAATTGTCTGTGAGCTGGGTGCAGTGGCTCATGCCTATAATCCCAGCACTTTAGGAGGCTGAGGCAGGCAGATCACAAGATCAGGCGTTCAAGACTAGCCTGGCCAACATGGTGAAACCCCGTCTCTACTAAAAATGCAAAAAAAAAATTAGACATGCGTAATAGCAAACACCTGCAATCCCAGCCACTCAGGAGGCTGAGGCAGGAGAATTGCTTGAACCTGGGAGGCGAAGGTTGCAGTAAACCTAGATCATGCCACTGCACTCAGGCCTGGGTGACAGAGCAAGACTCCATCTCGAAAAAAAAAAATTGTCTGTGAAGTCTTATGATATGGTGGATGCTGTTTCAGGAGTTTTACATTCATAACACATTTATTCCTCAAAGACAGGACTATTATCTGCACTTGAAAGAAGAGGAAACTGAGCCTCCAAGAGCTTAAGGGACTTGCCCAAGTCCCTTCTGCCTCAAAAGCCCAGGCTCTTCTCTATACTCTACAGTTCATTAATGTGGCCGCTATGTGTTGCACATAGGAGGAGGTCAGTGATCACATAGTGAAATAAAGGACACACATGCACCAAATTTAACCCTTCTGCTAGAAAAGCGTTTAAAAAAAGAGAAGCCTTGAGAGAGAAAATGAAAGAAGGCATAGTAATATGATGGATATGGCTCAGCAAAATAACTTCATCTCCCAAATTCCAATAAAACACGGAAACCTTTTCCCTTTCTGGTTTCATTGAAACAGCAACGCTGACATGGATTATTTCTAATCCT